GTAGTGGTTGGGGCACGCAGCTGGAATGTAAGATGCTGTTTCAAGTCCATGATTTTAGTCAGGACTTGAACCCAGGTCTTCCACAACCCATGCAGGAGTTTTAACCACTGAATTAAAGTCTATCTTGAAGTATCAATCCCCTCTTTCCTCTTCCTATTTTTGAAAACTCAAAAATTTTTGCAAGATAAGAAAACCAACTCCTTTCGGGCTCTAATCACCATAAAAACTGCCAATGAATGAAAATAGTTCCACTCTTATATTATTTGGCTATTGGTAAAAAAAAACCAGTTTTCTCGTTACCTTTGATTTGATAACCTTGTCGACCATATTTGTTTTTTTTCTTTTTCTGTAGCTTCTTCTCATTGGTTCTTGGGATTTTTAAAGAACTGTTGCTGCTGGCTGATTCTGTACAGTCAGAGAAAAAGTCCTCAGAATAGTTCACATGAAAATGTTGACTGACTTCCATATTCTCTGCTGCATTGGCAATAGTCATTAATTCTGCCAGAACGACCTGTTCTGATGCTTTCCCTAATACAATCATTAGTGCCTCTGCTTCTTGTGCTGCTTCCTGAATTAGTGTCTTCTTGCACTAACATACGGAGGAAACAGTCACCTGAGTTCATCAGTGTGTTGCCAGTAGAAGACATTGGAATTGACTTACCAGAATCAAAATGTTGATCACTTATACACAAAACCTGAGGGGGGAAAAACATGGCATTTATTAACCTCTTTAATGCACATTATTTATTCTTCAATCCAATAAAAATAGCCAGTTTCAGTATCTGAAAGAAGGCAAACATTTAGCGCCCTAGAGAGATGTTAAATATAATCTTTGTTATTTAAGAACTTATATGTTCTCGGTGGATGAACATCCCTTAATGCATGTAAATAAATACCATAGTTGCAGTTTCCTTGTATGCTAATATTCTATCAGTGTAGTTGTTTGTTTACTGCTTAATAGAATTTAGAAGAGGTAGTTATGTTGACCTGGGCATTGATGAAAAATTCATTGAAACTAGTACAATACAATTAAATAAATGCTTTATACAGCCTAGGTAGATGTCATCCAGGAACTGGTCTCTTAATGGGCATTTCTGCATCTTTTTATATACATTCCTAACACTCCATCCATGTTATAGAACTCCATCTGGACTCCATCCATGTCAATTTACTTCCTTTTTTTCATCCTTGATCCGCAACATGAACTAAGTAATGAATTATAACTGAACACTGTTTTGCCTTACATATGTATTTATGTAGTAGGCTGCGTGCAGAGTTACTGTTATTATACAAGTGCATCTATATTAGAGATTCTAATAAGCATATAAAATATTTCCTTTTGGGATGAAAGCTGTCATATTGCCAGCCAGGAATCATTTAACAGTACATAATATGCTTGAGTGCTTTTGAAAAGCCACTTAAGCACCTGAACATCTTTAGTGTAATGCCTTGGTAAGAGATGTGGCTTTCACTTGTCCAATCTGTATCTGTTAAATTTGATCAACTGGGTCGTTACAGAAGAGGTATAACACCTAAACGAGGGAGGGGATAGTGGCAGCATCTGAACAAGACTCTGAGTGCACAGTTGTTATTTCATAGATTTCATAGACATCAGGGCTGGAAGGGACCTCGGAAGATCATCGAGTCCAGCCCCCCGCCCAAAGGGCAGGAAGTCAGCTGGGGTCATAGGATCCCAGCAAGATAAGCATCCAGTTTCATCTTGAAGGTGTTCAATGAAGGTGCTTGAACCACCTCCGGTGGCAGGCTGTTCCAGACCTTGGGGGCTCGGACAGTAAAGAAGTTCTTCCTTATGTCCAGCCTGAAACGATCTTGAAGTAGTTTGTGACCATTCAACCTCGTCATCCCTTGGGGCGCTCTGGTGAACAAACGTTCCCCCAGATGCTGGTGGTCACCCCTGATAAACTTGTAGGTGGCCATCAGATCACCCCTGAGCCTGCGCTTTTTCAGGCTAAAGAGCCCCAGGGCTCTCAGCCTGTCATCGTAGGGTCTGCTTCCCTGACCTCTGATCATGCGCGTGGCTCTTCTCTTAAATGACTGTTACTAAGCAGTCATTTAATACTAGCATATGTAAGAACTAAATGGCTGCGCAGTAGCATCCCCAAATGGCTTTTTGGTGATGCTGACTGCATAATAGCTCATTACGACTGCACAGTAGCATTGCGTCACGCTTCATGCCATGCAATGCTAGTGCAGTCATAACGAGCTATTGTACAAGTCAGTGTCACCAAAAAGCCATTCAGCAACACTACTGCGCAGCAGTAATGAGTAACTGTGCAGCAATGAGCTACTGCAGTCAGCACCTCACGTAGACACAACCAGCGAGGATAAATTATTCCACCAAACTAAAACATTTGCAGATTAATGAGGATTTGACTGATCCCTAAGCTCTTGTTTCCCCAAATGTTTGCAGAAGTAGCTGTTTCATTTGAAAAGGGGAAAACCAGGAGCAACGGTTATTGGCCCCACCAGTCTTTCCTCCCCAGAGCAGGGGGGCTGGACCCGATGATCTCACAAGGTCCCTTCCAGTGCTAAACTTCTGTCCATTGGTGTCATCTTCCCCCCACCTCCCCCATTTTCAAAGAAAATGACCTTTCTGGAGTTTTTCAGAAAACAGCAACTTTCACCTAACAGTGTTTCCCCCAACAGTCTCTCTTCCTCACACAATACCAAAAGCAACAGCACACACTGCCTGACAAAGGGGGGTTGTGCTCCAAAGCTTACGAAGAAGACATTTTCCGACTATTTGAGTTGGTCTAAATAAAAGATATCAACTTGACCCAAAGATATCGGTTTGCCTGCTTGTGTCCGCGTCCCTGGACCCCAGCAGGGGCTGGCACAGCCCCCCAATAGCCACGCAGGACTCCCAAGTCAACTCTGGCCCTGCAGGGCCTGCAGTGAAGCCTTTGTGAGCATGCGCAGAAAGAGGACGCAACAAAAATGGCGGACGTGCTCCCTCCAGCCCCAGGGACCCCGGAGGAGGGGGGCGGGGAATGTATGGGCGGGGGCTCGTGGCAGTTCCCCTCATCACCCTTTCCCTCCCCCTCCCCACTGCAGCAAATGGGGCGTCCCCTCGTGCCCCCCGCCTCGAAGCATCGGTTACCCCGCGCGCCTCCTTTGGCCGTTGTCTGAGCGCCGCCGCTGTTCCGTTGCTATGGGAACCAGCCGCTGGGCTGGCGCGGAGTATCCTGGGACTTGTAGTCCCGCGCTGATGGCGAGCGGGGAGGGGGAACTCCGGGGTGATTCCCTCCTGTTCCGCCCCGCCCCCTCTCGCTTGGAGGCGGTGACGTCACGGATGTCAGCCAATCGCATGCAGCGATGCCCCCCCCTCCAGCGCGCTGGAACTCGCCTCAACAGGGAAATGTGGTTGCGCGCCTTGCTGTGCCAGAGATGGGACCTGGAACGCGTCCGGGGTGCGCGCCGCTCCCTAGCTGCTGTCCCAGCTTGGTGTCCCCCCCCCCCATATGGGGGTTTGAGGCATAGACTCTTGCTTCTCAGCCAGGGGGCTGTGGCACCTCAGGGTGCCTTGGGAGCGCTTGCAGGGTGCAGCTGCGCAGGGACAGCAGCTGGGAGCCCTGGGGCAAAGCAGAAGTGGTGACTTATGCAATCACAGCAGCAGTCCCTTGAGTTTTTTTGCCCCCCCCCATGTAAGTTGCCCCTGTCTCACTGCCCTGGTGCTGCCACCTCTGCTGTACAATGTCAGCACCTTTGGGTGCACAAACGTGGTTCATAGGATAAGCTTTCCTATAGGAAGCCATGCCATGAAATGAAGGAGGGGGCTCAGTGTTTTGGGCCAAGAGAATGAGGCCAGGCTGGTGCACTTGCTGGGTTGGCCTCCTGGTACCACGATTGGGCCCAATGCCGCCCCTATTTGGCCCCATGTGCCAGTATCAGGGCCCAGGTTGCCCTGTGTGCATGCACACAGGCCACAGTTCATGCGGTTCCCCACAGGCTAGACAGCCTGGCACCAGGGGCCAGATCTGTCCCACAGGCTGGGGTTTGGGCACCCCTGTGTTAAACCGTTCTGTCTTCTTGTAGTTCTGAGTTCTTTGCACCAGAAGATTCACCATGTTGTTTTTCCATAGTGAAAAAAAGGTGAAAACTCCCAAGTTGGCACTTTCTGAGCAGGGCCTCCAGCCTGGTTGAGGCGCTCTAGGGTCATGCTCCTCTTACCATGTAGTTTTGTCAGTAGGTTAGACCAGAGGCGCTCAATCCCTGGCCTGCAGGCCAAATGCAGCCCGTGGAGCTGTGGTGTCCAGCCCACAGGGCTCTCCCGGGTCAGAAAATATGGCAGTGGTGGATTAGTGGCAATTAATACTGCCACCCCACCTTTACTGCCATATTCCCAAGCTCTGTGTAGCTGGGTTAGAGTTAGGCCACATTCCCTGCTCCCTCAGCCATTTCAGGACCGAGCCAACCCCTTCTTCTACATACCCGGATGGGGATGGGCTGCCCTCTGCCCCCCTCCACACAGCCTGATCAGGACTTGCTGCACACCATATTGGGCCCACTGGCACAATCCTGCCCACGGACCCACTGAGGCCACAGGGCAAAAAGGTTGAGCACCAATGGGTTAGATCATGGATACAAATAAGGTGATCTTACATCAGATAGGGGGTTGGACTAGATGACCTCTGGCGGTTCCTTCCAACCCTACTTTTCTATTATTTCTATAATACAAATGACTAATGTGCTATTGTTCATCGTGTTTCATCTGCATCCTGCATGGTGCCATAGATGCTTTCAGGGCTGGATCCTGCACATGTTTACTACTGTTTAGTATTTATAACACACTGTGCCTTTTAATAAACAGTTAAAGGAGTGGGCCTCTGATTTCCAGTTCTTCAAAACATTTTGTAGAAAGAAAGGCAAATTAGTAAATAATAATAATGATAGTTCTAAAATGGCTAAAGTTATTCAGGTTGAATTACTGGTAAGTGAAAAAATAAAATGTTCTACTGGATAAAAGCTTGTATAACAAAGTTTAGCATGAAGTACAATGTTTAACTCAGTTACAAATTTAGTGTTGGAGCAATTTACCCATTGAAATGTATTTAAAGCAATCTGACTTCTTTCGTTTCTTGACTGTCTCTTGCTTCCATCTCAGAGAAGAATGGACCGAGAAATATTTAGAGTGGTTTAAAATAGCTATTTCAGTGCTTTTCGCAAATTTGGGGGGGACTTCTGTTAAGGATCTAAATTATTGTTCACACAACAGACCACAGCATCTTTAAAACTGGACGGTGGATAAATTAGGCTAACAACTTACTACTAATCAGATTGCTTACTACTGCGAACATTTCCCTGTTAAAGTCAGTGGTAATGAACATTATTTTTGCATGTGTTACAGGATTAGACTCTGAGGTCTTCCTTAAAACAGTTACACATGTATTAAAAATGCTGTCCGGAATTGAGACCTGCATTCTTCAGGCCAAATTCACCTATGGTGTCGAGCACATTTATACCAGAAGCTAATTTGGCCCTTTCAGTTTAGTGATAAGATACAATTTTACATTCGTAATTTCCCTTCTGAAAGTTTCCCAAAAGCTAAGTAATAAGCAGTTCCACTCCATCAGACAGCATCAGGTGGAAACCTAGCACCCTGCACTCTTCAGAGGGAGGGAATATTTTCACAAAGAAAACATAGCTCCTCTCTAACAAAGAGTAGGGGGAGATTTTCACTGGCCATGTAGAACAGAGTAAAATTCTGTTTTAGGGTCTCATGCATAAAATCATCCAAATCTCGCTCCAAAAAATAATGCATAACATATATCTCAGAGGAGAGCCAGAGCCAGGAAGCATGGCATGTGATCTGAATTCCTCAAAGCTCAGGATATTTGAAGCTTTGGCTTAGTTCAGGCTAATCTCCACTACTGTTGCTTTCAAACCTCTCTTATTTATCTGCTCTTATCTAGCTCTTATTTAGGTCAGAGAGAGAGGGTGTGGCCCCCTACATACAAGGAGCTGATATGAATGTGCTGACACAATTTTAAACATTGTCCTGCTGCTTTGTGAGAAGGTCTAGCACTGAGCTCCCTTTCCCTTCTCCCAAAACACTTCTCTTGCCTTGTCTGATTGGTGCACCACTTTCCCTTGCCTTTTAAGGACTGTCACCCGGTCAATCTAAAGTGATGAGGCCAAAGGCAGGTGCAAATCCCCCTACTATGGATACTTTTACCAACCAATCCTTTACTGGCCTCTAGACTCCCAAAATACCTAAGAGCCAATGAAGTAGGGAAACCCATGGTATCAGTGGGTGGGAAAGGCTGAACACATTAGAGAGATGTAAAAGGGAGATTCATTTGGGATTCTGGCTACCCTAGAAGCTCCTGCATATTAGGATTACTTTCACGGCTCCAGTGACTTGTTTGTTCCACGGATTCATTTTTATTGTTGCCAGAATGGTGATCAAAGTCTTTGTAGCCACCATTTGTGGCTCTACAGCGGTAGGTGTCTTATTTAATGTATGTTTAATCCTCACTTAGGAACAATGTGTTTTGTGAATTAACATTTGTCTACATATGAGCTAGTTACCAGGATAGTCTGGACCTTAACATGAAAAAGACACCGAGAGGTCTTTTACTCCTGTGTCTGCTGGCTAATTCTTGCGAGTGTCTCAGCATGCAGAGAATTAAGATTAATGTGGCCTGTTTGTATCTAATTTCTAATTGTACTTAAAATATTTATGTATAACATGTCATGTCAATTGCACACTTTAAGACTATATGCGTAGAGAAAGGGGTTACAGTGTTCCCACAAAATACTGAACTAAGCTATTTACACTAGAAATTATGTAAATTATTTTTTGAGAAATACTTTATGACTTTGTAGGAATGTTACAGTGTTGCCTAGGAGTGGTATTTCCAGGAAAGAGCTGGAACTAAAGCACAGGAAATTTATACAGAGGATTCCTAATGATTATCTCCTCCCTCTGCTCCCACCTCCTTTTTGTCTCTTGTTTTGCTATACTGTGGATTTTTAGTTTGGAAGCTTGCTGCTGCAGTTGTGAGCCCAGCGCACTGGCTGAAGTAAAGGGCGTGTGAACAGAAGAGAGGGCTGGAAGTCCACAGGAGGTGGAAACTGGGAAAGGACTGTTTCCTTTTATATCCAGTTCCCAGAGGAGCTCACATTGCAGCTTTGCCTTGGCAAGCACTCAGTCACAGTGACACTATTAAACAAACTGGCTGGTGCAGGCACATAACTGTAACTACATCTCTAGTTCTCTGACACCAACACCACCTCCTTAAGAAACTTCCAGAGTTTAAAGCTCTGGAAAAGCTGGAGAGCGAGCCACTGTCCTTCATAAATGAGCTAGGAGGAGCCCTCAATAAATCTAAATCAGGCCATAACAAAGAAACTGCAAAACTCTTACTAACTTTGGTTAGCAATGGTTTTTTATTAGGTTAACATTCCTTAATTACTGCAGTCATTTTAGATCTCTTTTGCCAACCTTTTAATTTTAATTATAAAAGTGTTATATACCTACCATATACAAACTTACCATGTTCTTATGTAAGGTGATTTGTACCTACCTTTATTTCCAATCAGCTGTCCCCAGTGAAAGGTTGCAAGGGTGACTGAAATCACTCTGCAGAGTTTTCTAATGTGTGTAATGGCTGTCATTTTTGGTCATTCCAAGGAATGAATCTGACACTGAACTCAGAATGAACCCCTATGACTTGGGCTCAAGGAGTAAGGACCCAGTTCCACAAAACACTTAATTGTGTACTTAAATTGATATCAAGGGGACTACTCATAAGTTTAGAATTAAGCATCTTCAGCTGCTTTGCTAAATTAGAATCTTAATCCTCTAGCTGGCAGTTATAGCAAATGCCTTCCCACGTTGGAAGACACTGAAGAGGATGTATAGAGCAGTGGTTCTCAACCTTTTTTGTACCAGGACCCATTT